GGGGAGCTATGTATCACTGTATCACGCTCCCAATTACACAATTACACACACGTCCGGTTCTTCTTTCCGCGACGGCTGCTATACTCCAACTGTAGTCCGCTGACTGGAGAACTGTTGATAACACACTCGGCGACTGTCACTTTACGACTCGACTCGGCGACTGTTATTTTACAACTCGGAAATGTCTTTCGTACAACTGAAGTCGCCGACTGCTACAGTAGAACTCGGAAATGTCTTCCGTACAACTGAAGTCGCCGACTGCTACAGTAGAACTCTGCGGTAGCCACATTAGAACTGACTGGTAGCTGCTGTGCGGTTCCCTTATATATCCGCAGTGGTGCCTGTTGCGCGCCACGTCACAGTAGGAAGCGGTTACGGGTATGTAGCGTTGCGCGTTACGTCACCGCGGAGGGATGGGAGGGAGCGCTTCGTTACCGCCACGCGCCTGTGGCCTGAGTTGCCACGTTGCTGCTGGGTAGGGAGGGGTTCTCTGTTGCGCAACATGTTACAATACTATTGGTAACTCAGTGTTAATTAATTTTGGCAATCTCAGTAAGATTTAATAAAAGTTGTTCACTTTAAAAGTTCAAAACATCACTTCATATTTCGACCAATGTGGTCATCATCAGGTGTTAAACTTATTGGGCGAGGAAACTGCTGTCTTCAATTGTTGCTTACGTTGTTAATATAGAAGTTCCATAAATGCGCATATGTGTTTGAGTTGGTGGGTTGTATTTTGTGCTGCGTGTCTTGTTCTCAGTCGAGAACAGAATAGAGCACTTTCCTCGCCCAGTAAACTCTGATGACCACATGAGTCTAAACATGTGGTGACGGAATTTAAACTTTTTTTTAAGTGAATAACTTTTAATAAATCTTATAAAACGCAGTGCTGGACGTGAGACTGAAAAGACTAATCGACACTGAGTTACCAATAGTACATGTATATTGTACATATCGAACACATCAGAGTGGTACAGTAGAGTTTGACAGTTGTAACGTAATGTTCAGATGTTGTAGCGTCCTATTTGATTCGCAGTAAAAGTTAAGTCGTAAAGATAATATTGTAACGTGTCTTGAGTTCGAAGCTCGTTGGTCACGTGTGTAAGTCCAAATCCCACTTCTGACACCAGTGTAACGTGTTTCGTTGCTGGAGACGCCGTAGAGATGGTTAATTGGTTTATTCAACAATCTACAAATATCGGCTACAATTACTTATCAAACAGTTGCGGGGTTTCACGAATTATAACCCTATGCGCAAATCAGTTCACTCTGTCTTCAGTGGTCTACACGTTTACAGTAGGGGAGCTATGTATCACTGTATCACACACACTCCCAATTACACAATTACACACGTCCGGTTCTAATTCCCGCGACGGCTGCTATACTCCAACTGTAGTCCGCTGACTGGAGAACTGTTGATAACACACTCGCTCGTAGGCTTGCTCGGAATTGTCTTCGGCGATGGCCACGGTATAACTCGACTCGGCGACTGTTGCTATATGTCAACTCGGCTCGGCGACTGTTACCTTATAACTCGGCGACTGCCCACATTACAACTGACTGGTAGCTGCTGTGCAGTTCCCTTATATAGCCGCAGCGGTGCCTGTTGCGTGCTACGTCACAGTAGGAAGTTGATTACGGGTACGTAGCGTTGCGCGTTACGTCACCGCGGAGGGGTGGGAGAGAGCGCTACGTTACCGCGGAGAGGTGGGAGTGGTTCTCCGTTGCGCAACATGTTACAATATGTATTCATTTGTATATTTACACCGGATATTAATAATTGGATGTAGAGGCTACTATTATCGGTGTACGGTGCGACATTTTTTTAAAATTAAATTCGCTTAGTGGGGGGTGGAGTCCAACTGGGTCCACTCGGCACGGCGGCCACTGATTGGCCTATTGTAGCCTGCCCCGGGTGATTGTGTTGATGGAGAATTTGGTGGAATGAAGATGGGCAGGGGAAATCGAAGTGTTCGGAGAAAACCCGCCCCAGCACCACTTTGTCCACCACAAATCCCACTTGACCAGACCCCGGGATCGAACCCGGGCCGCCGCGGTTGGAAGCCAGCGACTAACCGCTTGGGCTATGGCGCGGTTTCTACGGTGCGACATACGTAGAACGAAAAAAAAAATGGAATTCAAGTGTAATTCCTAGCGAAAAGGATATGTAAAGAAACTAACCTCTTCACCCTCGAAGTACTACCCTTCTGCATATACGAGTACAAACTTGCTCCAGCATTCCTGCCATTGCTAGAAACACGTCTGGAAAGCCTATTCCCGTTTGGCTCTGAGGCCTGCTGTCGCGTTGTGTTTAAATCCTTACGGACGCAAAACGATGACCTTTGAACCCCATCTTCGAGTCTCGCGAAGAGTCAGAAGTCACACAGAGAGAAGTCTGGAGAATATGGTGGCTCTATGTTGGTTGGAATTTTGTTCTTCGCCAGGGAGTTCTGCACTGGGAGGGAGGTTTAACGGGGTCGATGGTTATTGTGGAGGAACCAGGTGTTTCTCCATAGCCGACTTCGGCACAGTAATGTGTGTCTCAGCTTGTTGCAATTTGCTCCCTAGATAGCACGCGGTCCACTACTGCGCACTCCATCCACCTCGCTTTAACTGGAAGTGGTTACCTCGATGCGTCGACATTCGGGGAATTTTTCGTTCCATCCTCGTATGTACGGTACGTGAATGTGGAAAGCTAGATGGCACACGGCGTAACTCCTTGAGTGTATAACACCGACTTTCCGTAACAAATGCAGCTGCGTAGGTTCCACCAGTCTTACTTCAGTGCACCACCGTTTCGTTGCAGGAAGCCTTGCGGAAAAGGAAGGAGGAAGAAGACCGCGTGGCCCAGCAGAATGAGTTCCTCAACAGAAGCGTCCGAGGCTCCCGCAAGCTCCAGGCGCTCGAAAGCCACTCGATGCCCCAGTCCCCCAGCGGCGTCGTCAACGACGGCTACTCGTCCGCAGAGGAAGCCGACCTTGGACCACCACCAGCCGCCGAAGACGACTCGAAATCGGAGTCGCTGCACAGGGTGATCGGTGAGTATTGCACAGCTTCCCCTATCTCGCAGTTTCACTTTTCAGGCACCCAACACAATTTGTATACATTTCTTAATAATAACAATAATAATAACAGTCCATATATTGAATAATAAAGAGCCTGGGTAGCGCAGTCGGTATAGCGAATATTTTCGGGCTGGACTGCCGAGGGGTTGGAGTTCGAGTCCTGGCAGGGGCAAGATTTTCTCCTATCCGCTTAGTCCAGACCAGTTCTGGGGCTCACCCAGCCTACTATTGGGCACCGGCCGCCCTTTCACCTAGGGTAAAGAGGCCGGGCTGTGAAGATGACCGGTCACCTCCAACTAGTGCCGGGGTCAAAAATACATGTATCTATACATCCATTCCCGTATACGTCTTCATGGTGTAGGGCTTAATTAGCACAGGGGCGACTTTACCTTGCTTACCTTTCGTGTTAGAGTAGTTGAGGCACTATGCTACAAGCCAGAAAGTCGCGGGTTCGAGTCCCGATGAGGTAGTTTTTTTCCGTTCAAGTAACCTAATCCTTCCAGCCGCACTATGGCCCTGGTGTCGACTCGGACGAACAGAAATGAGTACCAGGAATCTTCCTGGTGTTAAAGGACGACCGGCGCGTAAGGCTGACAACCTTACTGCCATCTGTGAGGCGATTGTCTAGATAATGTGGGAGCCTCGACGTCTCACAAACCCTGTGGGCCTTCAAGGCCTGTTACAGTGTTAGCTTTACTTATACCTTGCCTTTACGTATATAATTGAAACGTCTGGATGCAACACTCTCAGCTGGAATCTAGGCTCATTATGAAGTCAGTAGAAGCAGCACAGTCGATGTAGCGACTAGGCTGCATTATGGACGACCGAGAAGTCTGGTCCCAGTGATATTCTCTTGACAGCGTCCAGACCGGCTGTGGTGCCAATTCAGTCTCCCATTCAGCGGGTTCTGCTGGCCCATTCACCGCGACATGAGTCTGACTATTCATCTTCAACTAGTGCCGAGTTAAGAATGCATGTAGCTGTACAACCGCGCCCCCATACGTCATCAAGGCGAGGGGCTCAATTAAGCACTGGGGCAGCTCTGGCTTCATGTGTTCCAGAAATACTCATTATTTATGCCTGGTTTGAAAATTATATCTTATTCACTTTCCAGAAAGATAAAGATTTAGACACAAGAACGTAATTTATTTAATTTTTTTTAGAAACCAAGTGCAGGGGAAAATTATGAGGAGATAGAATTCGGGTAACGATTTTCGTCATTTAGTCCAGAACCATGTCTTCTCGTCTGCTGTCCAAAAGCGTAAAAATTAAAACATACAAAACTATAATTTTTCCTGTGGTTCTATATGGGTGTGAAACTTGGTGTCTGACATTAAGGAATGAAGATAGACTAAGTGCGTGAGCGAACAGCGTGCTGAAGAGAATATTTTGTTCGAAGAGAGATGAAGTGAGAGGAGGTTGGAGAAAAGTACATAATGACAAGCTCCATAACTTGTACTTTTCGCCAGGTATAATTAGAATGATCAAGTGAAGGAGGATGAGATGGGCAGGGCATGTAATATGAATGGAAGCGAAGAAGAATTTATATAGAATATTGGTGGGAAAATCAGAAGGAGAGAGACCACTAGGAAGACCAAGACATAGGTGGCTGGATAATATTGAAATGAATCTGAAAGAGCTAGGATGATGTGGTATGTACTGGATTGATGTAGCTCAGGATAGGGACCAGTGGAGGGCTGTTGTGAACACGGTAATGAACCTTCTGGTTCAATAAAGTGTTGAGAAGTTCTTGAGTGGCTGTACAATTGGCCGCTTCTCAAGAAGACGCAACACCATTAAGTTAGTTAGTTGGATAGGCCTTTACCACATGTGACGATACGAAATACGACGATGGTTGTGGAGTACGTAACCTGTTCTTGTGACGTTGCTAGAGCATCTGAAACACGCAGAAAACACATACGCAACCCAACAGCGTCCCCCTGCCCATCGCTTTTTGTTACGTAAAAGGCTCACGTTCTGTCCACTGATTTCCGTCCCTCGCCTCTGCCACCCCGTACTTCCTCTTTCCAATGGCGTACAAACACAATGAAAGCGACACACGTTACTAGAGTTGTCTGTCTCGTTAATTCAGTAGAGAATAACATTTTTTTTTCATAGCGCCCTTCACCCTCTGAGGAGGAGAACGGAAATTTGTTCTTTCTGTTCCTTTCTTCCTTTTCCTTTCATTCCGAAGTCAGTTTAGTGACTCCACGAGCGAAGGATCTGGGTTCTCTTCTCAGCAGATGGCTGAGATTTTACTTGTCACAGAGCCCAGACCGACTGTGGGGTCCACTCAATTTCCTATCCAGGTGACCTTTCGCAAGAGGTAAAGCTGTCGAAGCGTGAAACTAATGTCTTATCTCCGTGTTTTGTCAAGGACGAATGCATGGTGGTTGCACCCGCCGACATGGCATGGTGCTGAGAGTGTGCCGTTCTTTGCCGTTATCTACCATTTTGTTCTCTCCTTCTCAGAATTTTTTTTTGTCTCGATCTTCTGGATTGTAACGCCGTGTAGTTCGGCATAAGTCTGTCGACGTTTTGGAGAAGGATATGGCCTCCATCTTCATTGTTGAAGAGTAAGCTGAGCAAGAAACCAACAGGCGGCAAGCAAATTTCCCTTGGGCCATTCTTGTAGTCGCCAGACTTGAGAGCGTGTCTTACATGTGCCTGCAATTGTACGTTGAAAATGAGTCATGGTAATGGGGACGGGCAAAGGAAAGAATTCCTGTCAGGTGGGGGACTGTACATCCGGTTTGAAAAGCATGCACAGGTGTCCTGCAGCCCGTTCAACCCTTGGCCGTCATGTCAGAGAGTTTTCACTGAAGTCCGGCATGTTTTGAAAGGTTCAAATCAAAGCAACTTTACCGAGGAAAATGTTCTGTTAGGTTACAGTTCCAGAATGAGGTTTGCGACCCTGTAAGGAACGTGTGCCAGGCACAGTGAACAGCGACAACAAACTCCATGTATGAGGGGTGAAATATATGCTGGTACGTAATGTTCACGGCAGCTTATCACCTGCACCGCGGTACAATATTAGGCCATGCAAAGCTCGCTCGTTCTTACAGCAGCCGTGCAAATTGTTTCTTCCTCCTATTCCCCCCACCAGACCACGGAAAGATTTCTTCAGCTTCTGTACAGTGCTCGAAGATGATTTCGACTCAGGTAGGAGAAACAAGTAACTCAAAATTTTGGTGGGGATTTCCCCGGAAGATCGAGACAGGATTGTGGAGTTAATTTTAGTGTGGATCTTCTAGATACTGATTTTGTTATTGTTGTATGAATTAAACTGGCTCAGGATGGCGTCGAACGGGGAGTTTTCCTGTACAGGGTGTAAAAGGTAAAAAGGTAAAGTTGCCTCTGTGCTTAACCGGTTAAGCACTGTGCCATGAAGGCGTATGGGGGAGTGGATGTTTAGATCCACATTTTCTTGACCTCGTCATTAGCTGGAAGTGAGTGGTCAGCTTCACGCCCCTGTCGTTTTACTATCGGAGAAGGAGCCCCCGGTACCCATTGTATAGGAGGCTGGGTGGGCTCCAGAGCTGGTCTGGACAACGTGGAGAAGTGAAAATTCTTGACCATACCGGGACTCGAACTCCGACTCCTCGGTCGTCCAGCCCATAGCTAATCACTATACCGACTATTTCCAAATTACTGAGGTAGACTATTGAAACAGACACGGGCAAATTTAAGAAGATTTAATTAAACATTATGTCAGAGAAGACGTCGATATCACGAGATAACAGTATGGTCTTAGGCTTGATAACAAAGAAGGGTAAGGAAGTTTGTTTGATCTCGAGGTGTATTTTCCATCTTGTGCGAGATAGGCCTATCTGGACGGCTTAGCGCCCTTCTTGGTACTCCTACTATAAAGGTCCAGGGTTCGTATTTTACAAATTGATTTCTTTGGCACTTTGCCTTCCTCGTTAGCTTCGAAGCCCCTTTATTATTGATGCAAATCTGTTTGGCCAAATCAACGCTATACACACAGAGTAAGACATTTTAATATATGCCATTTAATAACAATATGTCATTTTTTTAAGTGAATGTGAAAATGAATGAGAACTATTTTCACATTATCTGCCAGTATTCGTATAATGAGCTGTTTCGGAAAACATCGATAAAGTTTGGCTAAAGATTCGTGTAAAGCAAGTTATTTTACCGTCACGGACTCAAATTATGTTATGTAGACGCCCAAACAACATTTGAAATCCGTTCAGTATTTTCTGAGATGCAATATACAAATAGATGGACGGGCACGACCTCTGCTTGTGCATGTCTATGGAACCAGGTTACAAAGTTTAGACCTTGAAGTAAGTAGCAACTCCGATTACCCGATGCGGTCAAGTATTTGCGGTGGCGTTTCTGCGAGTTGCCATGCCACGGGGTCAGGCACTACCTGGTGAGAATACCGCACGTAAGCAGTTAAAGTGAAACTGACCGTTGAGCGGGACAGTGGCAGAAGAGTTTGGCTGCCGACTGTGTTGTTCAGCTTCGTTCAACAGCCACGAACTGCGTTAAGGTATGCTGGCCATACGTTAACGTCCTTTTTCTTCGAACAATTTGAGGTAAATAGTGTTTTGTTTGTTGAATGACCGTTCAGATGTGACTGGGAGCTTAAGCAAAGAGGAGGCACCAAGTTCTCAGAGGCGAGTTTTGTAGCGTTGTTCACAATTTCTACTGCTCTTACATTGCTGCATTGTTGGCGTTACCTCCGTTGTACAGGCTCACCTTGAAGAGATATTTATTGCTCAGCTGAGGAAATGGCATTATTTTTCTGTAATAGAAAATTCATCACCATATTCACAAAAGCCCGTATTCTTAGCCAATTGAGTTCAAGCCAAAATTCAGTCCCTGTTTTTCTGGGATCAGTTTTAATAATCCAAGTACATTTGTGCTTAGGAGTCTAAAGTGGTTAGTGTCTTTTTTGACCATATTTCACCTTTACCCCAAGCATGCTGCCTGTCCATCTCATCTTACCCAAATGATAATGGTGAAGAATGCAAAAAGTCTGCCATCTTTTCTACTTCTTGTTATATCCTGTCTCTTATATCTTGACATTCTTAGTACTTTGTTTTACAGCCCTACAGTCTTTCTTACTTATGGAGCTGATCCCTTCTGGAGGAGCTGCCAATTCTGCAGCTATTCAAGAATTTCCCAGCATTTTATGGAACCCGAAGGTTCATTACCGTGTTCACAAGAGCCCTCCACTGGTCCCTATCCTGAGCCAGATCAATCCAATCCATACCATTCAATCCTATCTCTCTAAGATCCATTTTAAAATTGTTCACCCACCTACACCTTGGTCTTCCCAGTGGTCTCTTTCCTTCTGGCTTTCCACCAATATCCTATACGCATTCCTCGACTCCCACATTGTGCTACATGCCCCGCCCACCTCATCCTCCTTGACTTGATCATTCTAATTATACTTGGAGAAGAGTACAAGTTATGAAGCTCCTCATTATGCAGTTTTCTCCAACCTCCTGTCACTTCATCTCTCTTCGGTCCAAATATTCTCCTCAACACCCTGTTCTCAAACACCCTCAGTCTATGTTCCTCCCTTAATATCAGAGACCAAGTTTCACACCCATACAGAACCACAGGCAAAATTATAGTTTTGTATATTCTAATTTTTATGTTTTTGAACAGCAGATGACAAGACAAAAGGTTCTGGACTGAATGGTAGCAAGCATTACCCGAGTTCCATCTCCTCTTAATTTCCTCCTGAATCAGACTTCGGTCTGCTATCGTTGTTCCAAAATATGTGAACTGTGCCACATTTTCAAAACATCTGTTTCCTATCTTTGTGTCATAATTTAGCCCTGCATTTTGGTGACGAGACAGTAACATATACTTAGTTTTCTCTGTGTTTACTTCTAGACAACGCTCTTTACTTGCGTCAATTAGAATTTGTGTGAGTTTCTTTATGGTATCTACATTATCACCCAATAGATTCACATCATCAGCGTAGACCAACAGCTGATGTGTCCCGTTTAATTTCAATCCCACGTGGTTTCCCTGGACCTTCCTAATTGCATATTCTAAGGAAAAGTTGAAAAGGAGTGGCGATAAAGCATCTCCTTGTTTTAGACCATTCTGTATACAGTCTGGTCATTTTAAAGTGTGAGACCAGATCTCACATTCATACAAAACTTCAGGTAGCATTACAGTTATGTATATTGTGATGCATATGACCATTGCAAGGCAAGGGCTCAGTAAACACAGTCCCAGAGTTACGCTCTCAGCAATAGGACATCCACTGCTAGGTAACAGGTACAATAAACACATATTCTAGGATAACAGAAGAAAAATGTTAACCTTTGGGTTCTTTAGTAAGAATTTTGTACTGTGGAGTTCATTACATTTGTTGTGCTGTAAAACAGTTTGTAGCTGTGTAATTTTAAGGGGTAAAAACTATTCTTCAGTCTTACTACATGCTCTCACTCAAAAGTTCTGTGATTTTCTACAGGCCCTTCACACAGATTCTATGATAGCAACTTAAATAAGCCACAACTCCTCATATCCTTTACAATTCATTATTAACAGTGATCTATCCAATTATATAACCTAGGCAGTGGAAAGACCTTCATTAATAACCCAAGAATATTTTCTTTGGTTTCAGTGTAAGCAGCCTCCGTAGTCTAGAGGTAATGTTCCCACCTCATGACTCGTGGTACGCAGGTTCAAATACCCAGCGGAGGTCGTCAAATTTTTAAGGGCGGAAAAATTCAGGGAACAAGTCCTCCGGGAGGGACTTTAAGCTGTGTGTCCCGTGTTGTAACTTTACGGCATGTAAAAGAACCTCATATCCCCAAAGGGGATCACTGAGCCAAATTCCAGGACGTTTCCCACCCAACAGTAGTCTCTAATACCTCTGGTAGATGGGGGAAGCATTATAGATACCTCTCAGCTAGTAGAGCCGGTCTCGTTGGCTGGGCGGGACTGATGGTAAGCACCAGTGCCGGTAGGATATAGAGACTGGTAGAAATCATAGAGGGAAGCACAATGGACCAATACAGGTTTCAGTGCATGGGGAAACCCACCCTCTCTAAATAATAATAATAAAATAATAGGTTTCAGTGTAGAGAGGTTCCTCTTCAGATAAATTTATTTTAACTACAATTTAGTCATTTGGAGCAATGTCATATCCTTTGGCGACATAAATGAGTGAAGAGTACAGAGTGTTAATGGCTATAGAGTACTACATAAGGGTCGACATAATGCAAAACAGCTTGAAATAACTGTGTAGATAATCATTTGTAGAAAGGAATTTAGAGATAGATTTCTTCTGTAAGTAAGTAAAATGTTGTTACAGGGTATGGGGAGCTTGTTGCTTCCCTGCAGCGATTGCAGCACCAGCTGAAGAAGAATGGCTTGAGCCAGGGTGCAGGAGGATACACAAGTCTAGAAGGTCAAATTGCAGCTGTGCAGACCCTTTTACTAAGCCCTGAGTTTGGAAGAGCTCTAGCAGTACACAACAAGGTGCAGGAGGTTTGGAGTCAGTGGCACACACAGCCTTCAGGGAGCTCCAGGCAGCTAGCAACTGCACCAAGTCCAGTGTCCACACACACACAAACACTTGTCAGAGACGTAAGTTTATTTTCAAGCTTTAGTTTACTAATTTGTAACATATTAGATCTCTGAGAGAATTAATGATAATGCATAATGAAAAACTTGAAACTTGGAAGTTTATATTCTTTTTCTAGCACTATTATGGTAGTTAAGTTTAAGATACATGGACTGGGCATTATGCACAATTTTGGGAATGTGAAATGCATGAAATTTTTGTAAGTGTTGAGGAAGGTAGTCACATTTTGTATGGAACATACCATAAAAGTGAACATACTTACTCATTTACAGTTAAACTGTTTACATTATAGAAATTCACCTTTCTAGCTGTATTATCCGTTAGGTCAATAAGCAGAACTCCTGGTCACAGAATATTTTAAGATTTCATAAAAGTTGGTATAAAATCTGCTATATACCAGGTAATTTTTCATTCATCAAACCATTTGATCTTGTCATATAATGAAAACAAACAAACAGATCTCATCATTTTTTCATTTAAAACAACTGTACTGATAGGAAATACAGTCCTCAATATGAAACATGTTCAATCCATCTTCCTTAAGGCCCATCCACATTACTCATGCTCGTGTGTCAGAAGCTTACTGCTGCTGGAAAATCAGGATCTGGAGCTGACGAAGTGGGCACCCAAACTGGTTTGCATACAAAGCCTTCACATTTCTTCACAACAGATATCAGCTCCAGATTCTGACTTTCCAGCAGCAGTAAGCTTCTGACACATGAGCATGAGTAATGTGAACGCGCCTTTACTGTGAAATGATGTGTCATATTGGAATCTTGAAATTTTGTAGTACAGTTTGCAAAGTTTCTGTGGACTTTGAAAGTACCTCTTGCTGTATTCCCTTTTTCATATTGTGACATGAAATGTAGAATAGTTTAACAAGAAAAGTCCTCCACTGCTAGGCAACAGCTGGGAAACAAGTTTCTAACTTCTGACACCAGTTTCCACGTGTTAGTGACTAGACACAGAACTTGGATTGGTAATTGGATTTATTGATCATTTATGAATCATAACTACAAGTAATTCTAACACTATTGCTAATCTACATACTTTACAGATCACTGTGGCACATGCTAATTCATCTCAGTTTGTTATAGTCTTTGCTGGTAGTTGCTTGGTTATAATCTTCACTAGACGTTGCTAGGTTATGACTGCTAACAGTGGATATTCCTCTGCTTTCTATGCTCATGTTGTCAATTGGCTACCATCTCAGACACCCCACTTGCCTCTTTCACCTTAGTATACAGCCTCAGCACAAGCCTCATAAAACATTGTTTCCATCAGTTCATCTATTGTTGCGTGTTGGATCTCCTACAGTTCCTCTAGTGTTGCGTGCTGATTCTCCTACAGTTCCTCTAGTCTTGCGTGCTGAATCTCCTTCAGTTCCTTTAGTGTTGCATGCTGAATCTCCTACGGTTCCTCTAGTGTTGCGGGCTGATTTGTTGCTGCAGAAACATGTTTTGGTTGCAGTGGAAAATTTTTCAGCAGCCACTGCCTAGAGCAGAGGACTTTTATTGTTATGCAGCTTTTGTGTCATAATGTCAAGTGTGTGAGGGTTAATGTTGGTCATTGTATTCTTGAGGTATTGCCACAAGAAAAAGTGAAATTGCACATGGGTTTAAAACTGGTGGCAGAGGTGGGCACTTAAAACCTTCATTATGGACATAAGGAAATCTGTTTGAGAGCAGTTTGTGTCTAAATGATTTCTTTAAATAATCCAGTACACTACTAGCTCTATGAGGTCTTGTGCCATCTTCTTGGAGCCACATCTTATCAGTATGAACACCATAACCCTTGAGAAAAGGGACAAAGTCATTCTGCAAAACATTAAGTCAAGACTGAGAACTGACTGTGCCTTCAACGAACACAGTTTCAAATATGTCAGTACTTGACTCTACACGCTACAGAATCTTGTTGAGGATGTAAAACATTGTCATAACAATCTCTGGATTTTGTAAAGCCTGGTAACAAAAATATTGTTTGTTCACATGACTGTCTGAATAAAAATGGGCTTCATTTTCAAGAAAGCCTTGCAGCTTATTGCAAAACGCTGGAGTCTGTCTTTCTTGAAGTCAGATAAAAGTTGAGATAACCATATCTTGTATGGGTGTGCTGATAATTGAGATCTGATAATTCTTATTACTGTGCTATAGGTCATTTGGTGTGAAATAGTCACAAGCTTTTATGATTCCTCAGAAATATATGTTTGGCTTCATCACCACATTAAGCGTGTGTATGGTTGGACATTCAGCATGGCTGGTTGAGTAGGGTACCAATTTCCTCAAACTCTTTGACTAAATGCCAAATGCTATTTTTGGTGGTACTTTACATAAAGCAAACTCTGTTCTGGATTGTCATTGTACTATAACCACAAATTTCCACATCTGTAATACTCTTTCATAATGAAAACTTTATGCTGCACATTGTAGGCCTCCATGATGTTTGGAATTAAAATAGGGACGTTCCAGAGCTGTCAACCTGAAATAAAAACATGAACCGGAGTCTCCTAAATTTTCAGTTCTGATTTAGTATGGATCAGAAAACTGCAAACAAATGAAATGGTTAGATGATAAAAAAATCACTTATTCTTCCCTGCTGGTTTAGAAGAGTTTTTCTTGGAGCATATGTTTGAGAAAAAACAGTTCATGCATGTGCACACATACACACACTCACAAACATACACAGAGAAGGTGTAGCTGAAGGATGCAGACAAACTTTTGGCACAAGTTCCACATACAAAACAAGAAAAAATGTAGAAATTAAACATTTACTTTTTTAGTTGTAGCTTGAAGAATACTTTTGTGACCTATTCAGTTGTTCAGTATGAATGCGTGGGCAGGAACTGTTGGTGATTTTTTGGCAGGCCTTCGTGTTTTATCACATCAGTATGCAGGCAGCCACTACTGAGATTTTCTCATAAATGATTTACTAAAGCTACTGGAAGATGTACTGGCAATCAGAGCATTAATGTGACACGTGCATGAAGGTGCTGTGCCACATTTTAGCCATGCTGTGTGAGATGTTCTCAATAATACCTGTCATGACCATCGGATAGGTAAAGGAGGACTCACTACATGGCCTCTACTTTTGCCAGATTTGAATCATCTGAATTTTCACCTGTGGAGATACCTAGAACCCTAGTTTATGCAGCTTCTGCTGGCAGTGAAGAGGCATTTTACCATGGCATTGTGGTTGCCTGTCAGACTATCCACAAGTACCTTGGCATCTTTGAATTATTGTGACTGTCCACAATGAGACATGTCAAGGTGTGCATTGATTCTTATGGAGGACATTTTGAGCACTTATAAATGTACTCTTTCAGATATAACTCACCTTCCTTCCTTTCTACCTACATATTTTCTTTTCTTTACCTTTAACCTGCAGGTTCAGCCACTGTCCACACTCCTAAAATGTCTCAGTTTCAGACATGTGAATTGTTGTTTTATGCTTTATCCACAGTGCTTGGAGACCTTGCAGCCAAGTTCACTACCTGATGCTGCAGAATTGGCTGATCTGTTGACTCGTTATGAGTTTGAAGGTCTGCTGTATGCTCATGACGCAATTGCCACACAAAACGTTGCCATCATGGCTGCTGGGACTCCATCATGTGAAGATGATTCATCTGAGCAGTTTGTTGGTGAAGAGAACATCAAGATCATCAAGATTGAAAAGACAAATGAGCCTCTTGTATGTGACATGATAATCATGTTTTGTTACAGTAATTCTGAATTATCAGTTGTAAGGATCCCCAGGTAGAATTATTTAACTTCTTCAGTTTGTTGCTAATTTCTTCCAGCACTGAGCTTGTTTATAGTTGCACATAATTTTTGCTTGTCTGATTTACTCAACTATTTGGACGTTCATGTTTCTTTGCACAGTTCTCACTCATTTTGTTAGTGCAGCAGTGTGAGAATTGATGGTTGGTGCAATAAACAGAATGTTTTCTGTATCAGGACAAGGCAAGGTGGCATCATTCTTAGGTGGGCTAAAACCATTCTGATATGCTTGTGCTAGCCTAAGGCTACTCTAAATTGTTGTTTGCTCCACATTTTCTCCCTGTTGCAACATTACAAATGGCATGTTGTGTCTCACCATTACAATAATAACCCGATTATCTGCCCCCTCATAATTGTCCAATTTTCCTTTCCTGCATCACACTTCAAATTTAAGGGGCCATTTTTTGGTGTATCTCTATTAGCCTAATGAACTGTTCTCAACAAAATGGTGTATCTTGGCACGACAGATAGTTTTAGGCTGAAGATAAAGGTAAAGTTGTCCTTGTGCTTAATTAATTAAGCACTAAGCCAGGAAGATCTATGGAGGATTGAAGGTTAAAGGTAGCTTCTGACCCTAAATGGATGAAGCAAGTGCAAGCACTGATTACAGTACATTGTCAGCTCTCTAGATACACATACAAGTATTGCCAATAAATGGCATGTCAGTGTCGTATGTTAGGAGGGGCAGCCATGAGAAAGATTTGTTTTGCTTGATTCTAGTACATTTTTTAAAACTACTTATTCTTTGTGTCACTTTCAAACAGGAAAGAGCTATGAGAAATTATATGAATATTATACAGGGTGTTTCAAAAAGAGCTTTACAACTTTGAAAGCTTATATAAATTTATACAGAGTACATACACAACGTTTTGAACTATAATAATGTAGCAAGAGACACCGAGTTTTGTGCACGTGGTATTGTAGTACCCAATACCGCCACCGTGAGCGCTCCTGCAGTTGAAATCAAGATGGCTACTTTTACAGGTGCAGAGTGTGCTCGTTGTGTGTTTTGGTTCGAAGAAACAAAGTCTGCTACACAAGTTCAAAGGAAATTTCGCATTCAGTATCGCAAGGAACCTCCCAGTAGGCCTACAGTTTACTCCTAGCACAAGAATTTTGTTCAGACAGGATGTTCTATGTGCCATGCCAAGCCACCCGATCAGCCACGTGTTTCTGATGCTACAGGGGAACATTAAGGAGAGCTTTGTTTGAAGTCCATGAAAGTCAACGTGACGTGCGTCTCGGAAAACTGGTATTCCAAATGTTACTGTGTGGCGAGTGTTACAAAAACGGTTTACACTTAAAAGCGTACAAACTATCCATTGTTCAACACCTTACAGATGCAGATAAGGTGGTTTGTAAGGAATTCTGTATGCAAATGTTTCATCGGATACAAGACGATGAGAAGTTCCTGGACTCTGTAATTTTCAGCAATGAGAGCATGTTTCATGTCAGTGGTAAGGTCAGTACCCACAACTGCAGGGTCTGGGGCAGCAGAAACCCACGTGTCTCCCTGTAACATGTTGGTGATAGCCCAAAGGTGAACGTGTTTTGCGCCCTCAGCAAAGAAAGAGTGTACAGCCCCTTCTTCATGGAGACAACCATTACCGGCATCGTATATCTGGACATGCTCCAAGAGTTCTTTATTCTGCAGTTAGATGAAGATGACTAAGAAGGACGCATTCACTTCCAGCAAGACAGCACACCCCCCTCATTACCTTGGAGAAGTGTGCGAGTACCTCAACAGCAGTGCCGATAGCAAGGCCACCTTGTTCCCTGGATCTTCCTCCCCTGGATTTTTTCTTATGGGGATTCGTTAAAGATTGAGTGTTCGTACCACCTTTGCCTGCAAATGTCATTGAGCTCAGAACTTGAATTACTGCCTCAGTTGCAGAAGTGATGCCAGAGATGCTATGTAGCATGTGGCAAGAGACTGACTACAGGTGGGACGTCTGCCGCATTACCAGTGGAAGTCACATTGAACCATAACTATCTGAGGTAAAACTCTGTATGTTTTGCTACATTATGACAGTTCAAAATGTTGTGTATATCCTCTGTATAAATTTATATAAGCTTTCAAAGTTGTAAATCTCTTTTTGAAACACCCTGTATTGTGTAAAGTGAACTTCAGTTCAATATACAGTCTGCTACCTGTTACTTGGGATAATGAAATTAATAAGGTCTATGAATAATTGAAAGTCATGAAAAATCCAGAATATTGCAAAACATCACAAATTACTTAACAACTGTTACATACTCAGTTTATACAAGCAACTTTTATTTTTACCAACACCTTGGTAATGATTGTTTCTTTGGTTTTGTGAGTTGTTTACATTTTCCTCAAATGTTTGTAATGTTTGTTAATTTTTTTGAATTGGGAGATTTCTCCTTATGGCAGTTTGGATTTTGTTTTCTGTATTCAAGCCCCCACTGGCCCATGCTATATAGCATAGTGCCACTGTGATGTTTCCTTCTTCACTTTCACCCACCCCATTCCCTTTCTAATCCCTTATTTTACTGCAACACTGATAATATCTCATCAGACATGTACAGGAAGTGAGAGCTGGTATAGTGACCGACTATGGGCTGGATGACCGAGGTATTGGAGTTTGAGTCCCAGTGGGGTCAAGAATTTTCTCTTCTCCATGTCATGCGGACAGGATCTGGAGCACATTCAACCTTCTATCCAATGGGTACCGGTGGGCTCTTTCCCCGGGGGTGAAGTGACCGGGGCGTGAAGCTGACCACTCACCTCCAAATAGCGCCCCAGCACAACGTTTCAGAGACTGGAGTCTGTCTCCCTCTTCAAGTAAAATCTACTTACGAGTAGTTGGACTAACTCTATCGATTAGGCCCAACTGAATAGGTTTCACCTGAAGATGGAGACAGAATCCAGTCTCTGAAATGCTGTGTCATGAAAAATAAACAGGATGGTTTTTAGATAAAGACAAGATGATGGATAATGTCCAAAAACATAATATTTATACTAGTTCACAGTGTCCAAATTTGTAAAAATATGTGTTTATGTAGAACAAATTAAATATGTACAGAGACTCAGATAATCTGTGGCTAAATAATTTGGAGTTGATTGTATTTCATTCTGCAAGTACAGTGAAGGCAGCTCATGAGCAGTTGCTTGTGTATGTTGCAGGGTGCAACTGTTCGGAACGAAGGTGATGCAGTGATAATTGGACGGATAGTGCGAGGTGGAGCTGCTGAGAAGAGTGGGCTCCTCCATGAAGGAGATGAGGTTCTTGAAGTGAATGGCATTGAAATGCGAGGCAAATCAGTGAATGATGTATGCGACATTCTGTCAGGCATGACGGGCACTCTGACCTTCCTCATCGTGCCTGAGGCTGTGTCTAGGCCTCCTCCCCCTCCTAGTAGAGACACACTTGTAAGCATTCTGAATGAACAAATGTCAACCTGTATGTGCCTTTTTCTTTTACTCCAGATTTGATGATATTAGGATTACCCTGATAAGGCTTTAGGCAGAGTTGATAAAGAGGGTTAATTCTGTTTCTGATAAACATTGAGTCAAGATATATTGAAAGTGTAGCTAATACATTAGGGCCTTCCTGCAATACACTATTACCCAGATTTCTGTGCGCTGTGTATGAAGTGCAGTGAAGTGTTAATTTGTGTAAGTAATTATAATTCATATTGTCACATGTTAGTGAGTAGACATGGTTAGGATTCATAATTGGATTTATTGAACGCTTTTAAATTGTAACTACAATTAATTATAATGCTGTCACTAATTCATTCCCTTGACTTCTCACTACAACACAGGCTAAGTCTCCTGTATCTTCACTAGCCATTGCCTGGTAATGGATCCGAAAATTGTCCTCTGCTTATGTTCTTACCAGCTGGTGACTGTCTCACAACTAACTAATTCAACTTTCGACCCTCTACTTAGCAAGCCATGACTGTCTTCTCAGCTGGTGGCCTTGTATAACCTCATGTTGGACTGCATAGAAAACACCACTTCCAACAGTTCTATTATTGCTGCATTTTAATTGTTGCTGTGGACACTTGTTTCTTGGCTGTTTCCTAGCAACGGACAGTTTATTTTGCAGCCATTTTATCAGATTGCTCCCTTCTTCAGGCTGATCATCACAAGTAGACTGTCAGTGTGTCACAATTTATTTTTCCATTTCTTGGAACAGAACTTTTGAAGGTAGTAGTTTTTTTCTTTTTTTCATTTGGAGGGAGCCAACTCTTCCGCAGTGTCCTGACTTTTGTTTTCCACCTTTCAGGTGTCTTGTCACAATATCTAGGGAATATTCTGCACTTTGTAACAACATATATTGTGTTGTACACAATTTTACTAAAGACAGTGGTATATTATTAATAAAACAGCTTTATTGTTAGGGATTTGGTGAAACATGTAGGGCCTGCTTTACAAAGACCTTGAGTGTGCACTTTTTATAAAAGGCTTGTTGATTTTATTGTTAAATTTTATTTCTGTGAAAGATGAAACTGCTGAGCACTTATCTTTGTCGTAGTTCATTCTAGTTACTCATTACCTAAATTATTATGAATTGTTCACTTCATTTGTCAGCATAGTGTTACTGAAACATTGACACATCTGTTTGACATATTTGCAACAAGAAGATGCAGAAATATATCCATTAGCCATGCCATATCTGTCATCTGTTCAGTCATTCATTTCTTGAGAGATAAACAGAACAGATTTTCCTGAAATTTTTTATTAGGTGGTTTTTGTGAAATCTGTTATCATGTTCAAATTTTTGTTAAAATCAGGCAGTGAGAACAGATTTTTCTGAAATTTGTTATTAGGTGGTTTTAGTGAAGTTTGTCATGATGTTCCAAATAGCAGAAATAGCTGACACTTTACATAGAATCTGGTATGCCTTTCTGCATGCATTTAGAAAATAACTTGCTTTGGACAAAAGCTGTGGAGAAAGATGAAAGATGCATTTTATGCCCAATACACATTTTCTTTAAGTCTTCCAGTTTTTGTGATAAATAGACAAAGGGGAGTGAATGTGTCATTTCCTGACTTGTTACATTTATTTAAGCATCCCTTAACTGACTCTGAAATTAAGGGAAACAATTTTGTTGATCACTGTATGATTTATATTCACTTTTTCAAATACAAAGTTTTTTGTTGCATAGAAAGAAATACTCTGACAGAAGAACCTAAGGTTCAGCACTGCTAAATACTGAGGCTCATCATGGAGATGATTCTGAGCCAACCCCATCTACCCTATGTCTGTAAGGTCATCTTCATGTTATCTTCACATGCCCGTGCCACTCCCTCAATCTTATTTTAATGCATATTTCACCCTGTCATGTGTGTCTGTGTCTGAAGGTAGGCACAATATTATCACACATTCATATTCTGAAACATGATGAATATCTGAAAACCATTATTCAGTCTGCAAGCCCTGCATGTAAATTGACAGGAATGTGGTGGGTGCCTACTGAACCAAGTGTGCCTGAAACATGTCAGTCACTCATGGAGCTGAGCCCTTCTTGAGAAGTTGCCAATTGTTCAGCTACTCAATAATTTCCCAGATTTTTATGGAACCTGAAGGTACATTACCATGTTCACAAGAGCCCTCCACTGGTCCCTGTCCTGAGCCAGATCAGTCAAATCCATACCATCCCATCCTATCTCTCTAAGATCCAGTTTAATATTGTTCATCCACCCACATCTTGGTCTTCCCAGTAGACTCTTTCCTTCTGGCTTTCCCACCAATATCCTATATGCATTCTTTTTTGTTCCCATTCATGCTACATGCTATTCCCATCTCATCCTCCTTGACTTGATCATTCTAGTTATACTTGGAGAAGAGTACAAGTTATAAAGCTTCTCACTCTGCAGTTATATTCTCCTCAACACCCTTTTCTCAAACACACTCAGTCTATTTTCCTCCCTTAATATCAGAGACCAAGTTTCACATTCATACAGAACCACAGGCAGACTTGAAACATGTAATGCAGCAAAGTAATATCTTGGCAGCCTTGCCATAGCTCAGATGATTAGTCACCTGTTATCCACCATGGTGGCCCAGGTTCAGTTCCAGGTCAGATCATGTAAGATCTGTGGTAAACAAGTGGCACTGAGGTAGGTTTTCTCTGTTAATTTTCATTCCACCCACTGCTCCATGTTTATTAATCATCCTGTCGACACTGAAATAATCAAAATGAATATTTACATATATGGGTTAATAAATTCAGGTTTTGTGCTTTCCAGTTATTCCACACACACACACACATGTAGGTTGTGGTAAGCATATAGTTTGAGCATTAAAGTTTAGCAATTCCACACCTTTTAGGTATAAAATTTATTAACCATTTGAAGAGAGACATACCTTAAGAAGCATTAATTGTGTTATTTTGATTGCAATTTTGTGTTATGTTTATAGATGCATATGAAAGCGCACTTTGACTATGACCCAGAAGAGGATCTTTACATTCCATGTCGGGAATTGGGCATCAGTTTTCAAAAAGGTGATGTACTGCATGTGATAAGTCAAGAAGATGTGAACTGGTGGCAAGCATACCGTGAGGGAGAGGAAGACCAGACATTGGCAGGACTCATTCCTAGTCGCTCCTTCCAACATCAGTAAGTGTAATGTGACATTTGCATTGTATTAGCCAGTCTTGTCTTGAATTCATTTTCACCAATGTGATGATTTAAATAGAGTTATAGAGGACATTTATGAAGGTACTAATATCTTCTGGGATGCAATGCCTGTAGTCTGGTCCAAGTGCACTGACATTTCACAGGAACATGTGCTACCATTTTGAGGGTCAAAGATTAAGTGAAACAAATTGTGGTTTGTATTATGACCTCATTGTTGAGTTTGATTGTGTAACAATTTCATATAATTAGTTCTGTCTGCATTTACTCTGCAGACCAGTTTCTTCATTGGACTTCTAAAAGAATTTCCATGTTACTGCATGTCACTCTATTTGTGCTGTCCTAAATAAATGGTATCTTTAGCATACTTGATTTGTCTGAGGCCTCCCCATATTCCATTGGATTTTCAGATGACACCTTTTAAAGCAAGATTTGAAAGCAGTCTGTATGTTTGTTCCACTGAGAATTCAAAATTTGTTATTCAAGCATTTATCTGTATGAACTTCATTAGACTTTCATTCATTTACACTGTAAAAATTTAACAGGTTAATATAATATATTGCAATGTGCTGGACATGTTGGAAATCCTTTTAGAAACTGATGCTTTGAAAGATTCAGGCAAGTAAGTTAGTGTAGCCATAATACTGTAAACTTGTATTTGGGGGGCTGCTTGGTTCAAATGTCACTTGGGACTCGCTTATCCTGACTGCAACTTTTGTGATTCTCCTCAGTCACACCAAACAAATATCAGGATAGTTCCTCAGTTAGGCTATAACTGCTTCCTTCCAAATCTTTTCAAGTTAATTATTCACCAGTTATGCAGCCATTCAATGCTTTGTACTCTTGAGATACGGTAACACTATAAAATAATCTGCAAGGAAAGAAAAAGGAGATTTGGATAGACATGAGAGAACAGTACTGCAATACTGTATATTAAAAGGAAGTAGGGCTTGCAGTCTTGATTTGGAGTTAGCTCAGGAATGAACACAATGTGTAGTCTCTTGTGTCAGTGGATATTCTTTTTTTATGTAAAAAGGACCAGTTTATAGTGTTTGTGTTTTTATTTTCCCAGGCGAGAATCAATGAAACAGACTATAGCAGGAGACAAAACAACAAAGGAGAAGTCAAAGAAGGCTGGAACGTTGTTATGTGCAAAGAAGAATCCAAAGAAGAAAAAGAAGAAAGCGCCATACAATGTAGCCTATAATGATGGAGGCTACCCTCTGTATGCAACTAGCACGGTGGATGGTGAGCGTTGTTGTCATACTCTCATTTCCTTAGATTTTTTCATGAGCACATCAGAATTTATTATCAACTGCTTTTATCCTTTATTGACATGATATTGCTTTGGATCTGTATTCGAATGGGCTGTGTGGAAAAGTCCACCAGTCAGGCTCATTGTTAGTACACAAATAGTTAACATTTTTACAACTCAACAATATATAAACATCATCATTTTCATTGATTGATATTTCCACCAGGGTGAGTCATCTTATGATATGGCCTATCCATTCTTCTCTAGCCTCCCATAAATAGTCTTGCATATGTGTCCACTTTTTTCTTATTGCTTAGGTATAGAGTCCATCACATAGCATCTCTATCTAATTCTTTTTCTTGCCAATTATGTTTTATTCAACACTTCACTTTCTTTTGCTCTATAAGGAATGCTTTTGTCATCCATATGTAATATATATCCATACCACTGTTTCTTTAATTTCACCAACTCTGCTTGTAGATCTTAAGATCTTGCATAATGACCTGTTGTTCATTTTTTAACATTTCATAGAACCTTCACCTTTACTGTTTATAATGTGCTTACATCAAGTTCTTAATCTGTATCATGAGATACAAGATTTTTTAACATCCCTAATTACTTGTTTTGGCCATTATGTCCATCATCAGTGGAGTCCTTCTACCATGCCATATGTTTAGTTAATAAAAGTTATTTCACATTATTTTATTTGTATTATATTGTGAGAGATTGGGCCATTTCTAGGAAACGAATAGGTAAACATGTTCCCAAGTGTCAAGAATAGGAGTCAATTGCTACGCAACAGTTCTAGTTAACTGTGTTTATTTATTTATTTATTTATTTACTTCATATCCATGGATCATTATATGAGGGGCATTCAAAAACTTCCTGGAATGGGGGTATAGCACTCTAATGGTAGGACATATGGCAGCGCTTACCTAATCACCTTCAAACTAGGACCCGTGTACCCACACACACACTGCTCTATTGATCCTGCCACTGTTGGAAGCAGCGGTGGAAGGCTTCTTTTGGAATCTTCCAGAGCTCAGACATCACATTTGATTTGATGTCCTCCATGGTTGTGAAATGTGTCCCCTTGAGGCCCATTTTCAGAGTAGGGAACAGCCAAAAGTCACTCGGAGCGAGATCCGGAGAGTGGTTGAGTGATGACAGGAATGTTTTTCTCGGTGAGGAATTGCTGCACAAGCAGTGTGTGGCTCAGTGTGTTATTGTGATGCAGAAACCACTGTCCCTGCCACTTGTCATGCCACTTCCTCCGAAATGCATCACGCAATCTCTGCAAAATTTACACGTAGAAACGGCCAGTAACAGTCTGTCCAGGGGGTATGAACTCATGNGTACGAACTCATGGTGCACCAAACCGTCGATGTCAAAGAATGCAATGAGCATCACTTTGCGTTTGGATCCGATGAGGCGATTTTTTTGGCCAGGGAGAAGACGCTGTGTGCCACTCCGACTGCATCTTCGTCTCTGGGTCGTAGGCGAACACCAATGACAATCTTTTTGAGAAACGTCGGGTCCTGCATACTTTTGTCAAACAGATCGCCAGTGTCCATCATGCGACATTCCATCTGATCTGTGGTCAGCTGCCTCAGAACAAACTTCGCACTGACGTGTCTCATCTTCAAATCATGGGACAAAATGGCATGAATGGATCCGTGAGAGATACCAACTTCTTGCTCCAACTCCGCGATGGTCATTCTTCCATCACATCAAATAAGTTGTCGCACTTTTCCAATCATTTCATTGGTTCTAGATGTCGAAGGTCTCCCACTGCGCTGGCCATTCTCTAACGTCTCCTGCCCATTCTTAAACCGGGAAAACCAGTCGTAAACTGCTTATTTCTTTAGTGCAGTATCACTGTAAACTTGCTGCAGGGCCGATTGTGCCTCTGAAGCAGATTTTCCCAATTTGCACATGAACTTGATATTCGTACACTGTTCGAACTGCGACATTGCACCGAATGACCAACACTCACATCTAATTCAAACGGAACAGTAATGACACTGCACACTGAAACCTGTCCAGACCTGTTTTG